GAATTATGTATCTTAGTGTAGTCTACTTGTGTGCCAAGTTATATTGAAATCAGACCGAAACTGTAGGAGGAGTAGCATTTTGAAAGAATTTCACAGAAATTTCTATATTTAGCAACAACGGCAACACCGTTCATCGAAATCAAAAATCGATACACAGAATTATGTATCTTAGTGTAGTCTACTTGTGTGCTAAGTTATATTGAAATCAGACCAAAAATGTAGAAGGAGTAGTATTTTGAAAGAATTTAACAGAAATTTCTATTTGAAGTAACCACGGCAACACCGTTCATGGAAATCAAAAATCGATACACAGAATTATGTATCTTAGTGTAGTCTACTTATGTGCCAAGTTATATTGAAATCAGACCAAAACTGTAGGAGAAGTAGCATTTTGAAAGAATTTCACAGAAATTTCTACTTTTAGTAACAACGGCAACACCGTTAATCAAAATCAGAAATCGATACACAGAATTATGTATCTTAGTGTAGTATACTTGTGTGCCAAGTTATATTGAAATCAGACCAAAACTGTAGGAGGAGTAGCATTTTGAAAGATTGTTTACAGACAGACAGACAGACGGACGACGGACGCATTACTATCGCATAAGCTCTTCTGGTGTCTGACCAGTAGAGCTAACTAGGAAATGCCAACAAACCATTCTCACAAAAGCATGACACCTTGTTGCCACTTATACCACAGGCACCTGAAGTATGGATAATACCCCCCCCTTTTTTTTAATGAAAAAAATGTAAGAGTGTAAAATATCTCAAAAATATAAAGTTTCCCCGTTAAACACATCTATATGTCGTTATATGCAAGCAGATTGTACTTTTTCTCACGTTTAAAGAATGGCCCTATTCGGTATAATAAAAATACACAAGGTCAGAAACAGAAGTTGTAAACAAACGGGAGAGCCCTGCTTTGAGACAGATTTCCAAGGTAATAACAGTGTTACCTATCATACTTTTGCAAGCACCCTGTCATAGATATGTTCTTCTACTAAACTATTTAACCTAAACCCCGTCATTAATGTTAAATATGCCGTAATCGAATGATTTATTAATCGAATACATAAAATTTTCTCCATTGGCAGCGTTGGAAGAGGTTTTGGAGTCGCTTTTCTGTTTCGCCTTCTCTGATTGGTTAATTGTAATACAGTTTAAATATCTAACCAATCAGATAGGGCGAAACAGAAAAGCGACTCCAAAACCTCCTCCAACGCTGCCAATGGAGAAAATTTTATGTATCCGATTAATAAATCATTCGATTACGGCATATTTAACATTAATGACGGGGTTTAGGTTAAATAGTTTAGCAGAAGAACATCTCCATGACAGGGTGCTTGCAAAAGTATGATAGGTAACACTGTTATTACCTTGGAAATCTGTCTCAAAGCAGAGCTCTCCCGTTTGTTTACAACTTTTGTTTCTTACCTTGTGTATTTTTATTATACCGAATAGGGCCATTCTTAAAACGTGAGAAAAAATACAATCTGCTTGCACATAACGGCATATAGATGTGTTTGACGGGGAAATTATATATTTTTGAGATATTTTACACTCTTACATTTTTTTTCATTAAAAAAAGGGGGGCCGGGGGTATTATCCACACTTCAGGTGCCTGTGCTTATACTGTAAAGAAACTGTTTAGAATATATCTCTAAGTAAGTGGTAACCAAGGAAACATTTGGAATACATTTAAAACGCTGAAATATGCTGAAAAACACTCCGTGTTCACTAATTGTAGGTGGTACATGCTCAAACTCAATCAAAGACTTAAGAAAAACAATGAAAATGTTTAACCTTAAGTATATAGGCATAAGCAAAATCATTCTATAAATAAATTTTATGGTTGCCTTGGTAACACAGTGTAACCATGCAAAATCAGTAACTAAAATTGGGTTAATGCTACTGTCTTGAGGAAAAACATGGAAATTCAAGACTGACAAATATGCATTCTTAGGACCTTGCAAAGCCAACACCACAAGAAAAATTGGGATTAATTGCTATTTTGCGGTGTTACCATGGAAACAACGTTCTAGTGGTTAAAAGTGAATATTTTTTGCTGCATTAAGAATTAAGTTGCCATTTTATCAAGAAACATATTATATGACTCACCTTGAATAGTACTTATCTGGTAGAACTGAAGTTGAATATTATATATTGATAAAACTTGACGAAGGAAACAACACTGTTGCTATGGTTACCAGGAAGGGAAAATGTTCGATTTTGTGAACTGTATATCAATATTAAAGCCTGTGTGCCAGCTTCTTGCATCCAGTTAGAGATTTGATGATAGTCAAAATTAAAAGTCAGGTTAGCTGTTAATAAATATCAATCATAAAAGTTTTGGGAATCTACATTTGAGGGTACGTATCCAAGGAAAGAAAATATTTTTTCAGATTTTTTAAGCATATTTTTCTGCTAATTTCCATAGCAACACTTTATTTAAAGAATCCGATCTGAATTTTTTTAAATGGAAAAATAAGGACCACAACAACATCTTTAAAAATTGATCATTAGTTATGAGGAAATGTGCTTTATTAAAAGACAGGATCAAATTTAAACTTACAGAGTGTAAATTTAAAGGCTCTCTGTTGTATAAAAACCTTGGCAACCATTGCCAACCAAAATGAAATGTCATAATTTGTTCTTGGTATATGTTTCAAGGCTCTTTTCTCTATTATTTGGTCACATTTCATCCTATAATTGCTTTTTATTTTTACGTGTATGACTTTATAAAATTCAATGAACATATTTTTTTTTACTTTTTAATACTGTGTTACCATAGTAACGTATGTAATAGCTGATTTACCCAACCTGTTTATAATGCATTTGAGGCAACAGGCCTTCAACTTTTGGAAACAGTCATTGCCAATTGTTTGCCTTGCCGCAGATGTTAATTATTGGGCTTTAAACATGGTAAAAAATGTCATTTTTCAAACTTTTAGACATGTTGCCATGGTAACTATAACACATAGCAACCAATTTTTGCCTGATTCTAGTTAAGGGTATCAAAGACTTTTATCATAGAGAGTTTGGAGAAATTCTGATACTATGCGTGCCAAAGCTCATGTATAAAATTTCAAGTCACTACAGAGAATGGCTCTTAAAGCTTTGTTCTAAATTTTAAATGTATAATGTTCAAACGTACCGTAGTATTTTGAGTCTTGGGTTTTTAGGAAAGATAACTCTTGAAAGTAGACTTTTCATATAAATATTTTTTAAGGACGACAGACCTAATTCGAAATTTCGCGCCACTGCGCAGGAAGTCGCGCATCTGCCTTGAATCAGATTGACGTAATTATGTATTGCTAAAGATGATTGATATAAAGGGTGTTAAGAAAGTTCGTTCCGTGATTTACATGAGGCCTAAATTTATTGAAAAAAAACAACTCATGTGTATTCTTTTTATTTTCAATAACCAGACAGTCCACCTTTGTTTTTCAGTACATTTTTAATTCTATTTGGCATTGAATGAATTAATGAAATCAAATGTTTCTGAGGTATTTCCCTCCATGCACGTTGAAGGCGGCGACGTAATTGGATCATAGACGTTGGGCGCGGATCCTTGTAGGCCTCACTGTCCAGGATACTCCAGAGATTTTCTATGCAGTTTAGGTCTGGGGAATTGCCAGGCCATTCTTCTTTGGAAATAAAGTTTGGTAAATTATTTTTACACCAATTCTGTGTTACGAGGGCAGTGTGAGGTGTCGCCCCATCTTGAACAAGCGTAGCGTGTCCTGGATATTGAACCAACTTTTGTTCATCAATCCTGCCATTGTTTTTCTGTCGATTCAGTGCAGGTTTAAGTTCTTTTTGAAGAATTTTATTCACATAATAATTTGCATTTATAGTTTCGCCGACTGGAACGATATGTAACTTGGACAAACCATGAACTCCCATTGCACCCCATATCATGACTTTGGCGCTTGACTTGACGCAGCTAACGTCGGGTACCTCATCTGGCTGGGACCCCCACACAATGTCGTCCTGTCGATTCGGAACATGAAACAAATATTTTGTAGACTCGTCAGTAAAGATGTAATTCTCCCAGTCTTTAGCCGTCAAATGCTTGTGATCACGAGCAAATTTCAATCTTTTCTGTCGTTGTATTGTTGTCAGTAGTTGATTTCTTGACCGTTTAAATGCCTTCCACTTTTTTACCTTTCGCAAATAATTAAATACTGTTACATGACTCACATTAAAGCCTGAGTTCTTGAGTTCCTTGCTGCATTTTCTTGTTGATTTCCCTCTTTTGTATTTTATGTTCTCCACTTTTCTCTTTACCTCGCCTGCTATCTTCGACGGTCGGCCAGATCTTGGATGATCGGTTAGCTGTTTGTTTTGCTCTCGTCTTCGTCTCCACTTTGTTACCCATCGCTCACTTTTACATAGTTGTTTAGCCACATCCTTCACACTTAATCCTGCATCTAATAAAGCCAAAGCTTGAGCTCGTTCGTTTACAGTATCGACACTTGTACATGACGTCTGCTTTTTCACAGAACTCGTCATTTTTATTTGATGACGTAATAGACATCAATGTTTACAGGACTCTATAGTAACACTAGAGAGTGCACATAGGGAAGGATAACTGTTGATTGGATGAGACATATCCTCTAGTTTTACCAAAATAAATTTTTAATAGAAATATCGCTTTTATCAATCTTTTTTTTCTAAATTTACAAACGGAACGAACTTTCTTAACACCCTTTACATTTTTTAATGTTTACAAAGAGTTTCATACCTTAAATCCTATTCAAAAATATTTTACACAATTCGATTTACATTCATTTGTTTTTCTATAAGTAAATGATTATTTTACGACATCTGCCGTAAGCGCATGGCGAGTAAACAAAAACGTGTTGTGATGTTGATGACTTTCCTGACTCGCCGGTTAGGCTGGTTTTGTTCATTTGAAGCTTCGTTTTTCATTAAAAAATGAAATGCAGCAAGTACAAACATCGTCATAAACTATTGCCAAATGTACGACCCCTGTCTCTCATTATCGATACGATTCTAGAGCGGATTCTGGACCGTGGCCTAAGACAATAAGTTCAAGTTGATGTTTCTGATGGAGATGATTTGTAAGGAAAGATCTTTTTCTGAATAATGTCTGTTACGTTGCCTTTTCGTCCTAAAGATGAACTAAACATGCATGATGGATTGATGCTAAATGAGCATAAAAGTGTTTGTAAATGAAGGAGAAAACAAGAGCCCGGAGTGCCAGGACCTAACAACTGCCAAAGCTTGAAATTTCTTATGTGATATCAACACTATTCAGTATTTCATTTGGAACAGGTAACCATATTTAGATTTTTTGTTTTAGGCTAAATTTTGCATTTATTCATTATGTTTCATTATTATTGTTGAATATATTTCTTTTAATGCATCTTTAGGTCTATGTAAAAATGTTAAAGATTTTGGATGCAATTAATTGCAATAGGTTGTGAATGTTAAGCAAAATACCTTATTAGAGTAGCCGAGTTAATTTATAAGCATACTTAATTCTCAAAGAATATTCAACCAAGCTTAAATATAAAGCCATGCAGATAAACCTGGCTATTTACCTGCTTAGAGATGAATCAAGTAAAGTACCAGCAATGTTGAAACAGGCTGATCATGATCACTTCATTTTTAAATATATGTATTTTGTGCTAGCTTCATTCAATCATTGATAAAATTTTCCTATATAGCAATGAAATTAAACTAGCAAACTTCTTTAAAGATTTTACATGTCACATGATGTGTGTTGTTGGTAATTCCCCTGTGTTACCAATATATAATCATTAGAATCAAGTATGGCAGTATGCTATCTTATACGTCATATACCGTATAATCCATATTAACCGCCCCTGGACCCCTATAAGCGCCCCGGCCCCCCTTAGGTCTTTTTCAATTGTCCGGAAATAAGGGCCCTCTGGCTGTAAAGTGATTAAAATCAACAAGAATCATATCAAAATATTGAAGAAAGTGAAAATTAAACTTATATATTATCCAATATTTCAATGGTAATGAATAATTTAGCATAATTTGGGTGGATTATCTTCACTTTAAGTAAAGTTAGACATTATTTTATTGGTTCCTTGTATTTATTATTTTTTTTCAAAAGATTTTTTAAAGTTAAAATATGATATTGAATATCATAAATAGAGTACCAAAAAAAAAACGCCCCCTTTTTACAATTTTCTAAGCGCCCGGGGCGGTTAATAGGGATTATACGGTATTTGAACCCTTGAATCATTTGTTTTAATGCAAAAAGTTGTTGAATTATTAGTTGTGTATCATTCATAATTGTTTCCTCCAAAAAAGATAATAATAAGTTGCCTTCATCTTTTACAGTACATGCACTCGCAGCTTTAAAAAATTAACAACTCAAAACTGAATTACACGGATAATACTATTTTATACAAATTCAAGATGCATGTACATGTATGTAGATCACAATAGTCAAATGTATTTTGCATTTCAAATTTAATGTTTTATTTTTTATACCACAGAAAAAATCTGCAGACTGAGATACTTGTACTGAGGAAATACCTGCTGTTGAAGGAAAAACCCAAGACTTGTTTAGGTATGTTTTTGAAGTCTTTTAAAATGAAAACTTCACTCATGACTTTTTCAAAAGGGAGATAAATGTTAAAAGTCATTCTCCTATTCTTTGTACACTGACAATGCTGATTAATCATATGCTTTATTAGGGTGTGAATATTAATTTTTATTTTGAGTCTTTGAGTTTATTCATATATTTTTTATGCGCCCCAATCGATAGATCAGAGGCGTATATTGTTTTTGTCCTGTCTGGTTGTCTGTTTATCTGTTTGTCTGTCTGTTGTCAACTTTAGCCTTAGCCATAACTTTTAACAGATAGAGACTTCATATTTGGTATGCATACTCCACTAATTAAGTTTTCAAAAGACACAAAGGTAAATGACCCTTAGTTTGACCTTGACTGTGACCCTTAAGCTAAAAATAACTTTTCAAATCTTTGTTGTCTCTGGGCGCATAGTGTTTTTTTTTTATTTTACCTTTGTTAGCAAAATGCAAAAAATTGTGTACACTTGATATTGATTGATTGAATGTTATTTATTTATCTGAGTATCACATAGTTTTTTTTTGTGTATTTCAGGTAGAAACAACAATATGCAGATAGTTCAAATTGCTGCATCTATTGGAGCACCCATCGTCGTCAGGAATTTTTCTTGAATTTCCAGCATTTCAAAAAATGCACCTTGCAGGCATGGATTGATTGTTGTAGCTTAACACATGTTACAAGATTATTTAACCCTGATGAGAAGTCACAAGATGCAGTGAATGACACTTGGGACCAATGAGGAGTGAGGGTTCTTTAGTGTGCCAATATCTGCTGTTCCAACCTTTACTCTCTCAACCAAAAGACCTCCAACTTTACAGCACCAGAATATATGATTAGCCACTGGGGAAAATTTTTACAAACTTTTCATATGTAACAATATTGCAAGTTTATAGTGTTGTTCTACATGTAAACAGCATGTACATCATTTTTTAGATATACAGATGTGATGAAATAATTAGGAACTCTAGTTAGTGTACGGTTAGTTTTACCCCACATGTATATATGTTATATCTCATAAAAAAACTAGTTAAAAAAATCAAAGTCTGTATATAAGGTAACAGCTAATACATGTAGCTATTTAAAATGACTGAGTGAAATCATTATAAACAAACATATACAATTAAAATATTTTTGTATATTAAATTTCATCAATACATGTATTTGATACCGAATGGTACTGTTTGATACTCCATAGTTAAATCTATTATACCTGTCATCATTTTGTCCTGAAATGTGAAATACTTTATTACTAAAGTATTTTACCTGTGTGTGAAATTCTTATACTTTTACAATTATAGTAACCTAGACTCAGAGTAAAATAACACAGGTGCATTATTGTCAAATTTTGCGAAAACATTCCCAGATTACAAATTGATAAATATTTCAGCTCAGGGGGGGGGGGGGGTGTTTAAGGTGGGACACAATAGGGGATCAAAGTTTTACCTAGAAATACCAAGAAACAAGATGTGTTTGTGAAACACTGATGCCCCCATATGGCAACATAGCAAAGATTAAGCTTTTCTTAAATGCAAATTTAATTAATTGGTACCAAGAGTAGGGTATTCTCAGTGGAAAACAATTGTGAAATTTGAAAGTAAGCCAATGTTAAAGTTTTTTTAATAAGTACAAAAATCTCCAAGGTCAAGGTCAAAAGGTCAATGTAAATTAGTATCAAATGAAAGGTCTTGCCACATAGAATACTTATGTAGAGCGTGAAAGCCCTAGTCCTAACCGTTCAGAAGTTATGGCCAGCGTTCAGTTTTTTAAAAAGTAGGTCAAACTCCAAGGTCAAAGGGTCAAAGTTCTTGTTATCAAATGAAAGGTCATGTCATAAGGATCAAATATGTAAAGTATGAAAGCACTAGCCCTAACTCTTTAAAAGTTATGGTCAAGGTTTGCTTTCTTAAAGTAGGTCAATCTCAAAGGTCAAGGTCAAAGTTCTTGGTATCCATTGAAAGTCATAACTCCAATAAATCAAAAGTTATGGGCAAGGTTAAAGTTTTTGCGGACAGAGAGACAGCTAGACAGACGGACGGACACGACAAAAACTATAAACCCCCGAAACTTCGTTTACGGAGGCATAAAAATCTTAAGGTAGTTATAGTTGTACTGGTTCAAATGGGGGCCCCAGGGGTAGGGCTGGATCATAATGTGTGAGGGGGTGTCAAATGAATAAATTAAAAAAAATATCTGCTCAATAACAGCAAAGCCAGTTGTTATATTGATATGGAAGCATCATGGTTGTTTAAATTCAAGCCCCCCCCCCCCCCCCCCAATGTAAACTCTCAATACTGAAGTGATTTTTGCTTTTTTTTCTCTAGCCAGTGTGCTAAGATGAGCAATGTCGCCCATGAGCCTTTTGTTTTTCTGTACTATTTTTGTGATGAATCCGCATCAGTATTTGACTATTTGATCATATACAGTAAAGCACGCATATAACGAAAAATCAAAAACACCTATCTTGAAACAGTCCCTTATACTTAAACTTTTACTATCTATGCTTATTTTTAATTTGACAAACACTGTATAAGGTACAAGTATTTTAGTTAATTACAGGTATGCTAAGAAAATATTAACTTTTGAAATAATCAGGCTTTCAGATATTGATTCCCATGGGACGTGGGTCACAAAAATCGTACTTTGAGACAATCCCTAGAGTATTATACGCATTTATTTCACATAAATCCTACTTTATAACCATCCCTAGAGTTTTAAACAACTTTAAATTATTATTTTTATTTAGTGTAAAAGTATATTGAAGAATAAGGAAATAAAACGACACAATTTATTTTGCCAAGGTATTTTCAATGAAAATTTTCCCCCAAAATATGCCATTCACCAGAGTTTGACACACCCCCTTAAAAATTCTAGGCCGATGACCTATTTATTTTTTGGCATTATTTGATACTAAATTATCTTGTTAACATTGTATCTTAATAAGAACAAAAATTCTATTGCAGAATTTTTTTATTCATCACTTTTATACCACAAACTCGCATTTTCCCATTACTTCCTATAGTAATCATCGATTTTCGTTGCCTACTTTTGAAACGCTCCCTATGAAAAATCTATATCGATGACCATATATTTTTTTCATCGATTTTAACTCACAAAAAGTCACTTTACCTCATATTAAAATTTGAGTAAATTTTCTATTGTAGAAATGAATTAGGTCCGTCGTCGTTAAATTGGAATTTTTATTTAGTAAAAACATTCTTCATTCAATTTGGCGCATGCATTTCATTGAAATACATTCATTGTCTCCAAGATGGTGGCATATTTCTGTTCCCTACATGCAAGATTCTAATGTTAACATGCAAGATTATTATGTTAACATGCGAGATAATTATGTAGACATGCAAGATATTTATGTTCACATGCAAGATATTAATGTTCACATGCAAGTAATTATGTTAACATGCTACTTATTTATGTCAACTTGCGACTTATTTATGTGAACATGCGAGTTATATTTTTACATAAAAGCTATTTACGTCTACATGCAAGATAATAAGTTGCATATCAACATACATATCTTGCATGCTGACATAATTATCTTGCATGTTGACATAAATAAGTCGCATGTTGACATAATTATCTTGCATGCTGATATTAATAAGTTGCATGTCTATATAATTATCTTGCATGTTGACATAATAATCTTGCAAGTTGACATAATTAAGTCGCATGTCTACATAAGTTGGCATAAATAAGTCGCATGTCTACATAATTATCTTGCAACTACAATGTCAGATACGAGCGTTAGAAAGTAAATCTAACCATATTTAAATAATATTTTCTAATAAGATTGGTAACTTGCATGTCAACATAATTAACTTGCATGTTGACATAAATATGTTGCATGTCTACATAATTATGTTGCATGTTAACATAATTTATCTTGCATGCAGGGGAAGAAATATGCCACCATATTCCAGAGCTCATTTTCCTTATATTTTATGCACAGATTAAAAAGATAATGATACAAGTTGGGTTTTTTTTTAAGGAGAAACTATTTTTTTCTATTTAAAAATTAATATTAGGTCTTCTCAGGTATTTTTATTTAGCTCTACTAGTCAGAGACCAGAAGAGCTTATGCGATAGTAATGCGTCCGTCCGTCTGTCTGTCTGTATACAATTTTTCAAAATACTACTCATCCTACAGTTTTGGTCTGATTTCAATATAACTTGGCACACAAGTAGACTGCACTAACATACATAATTCTGTATATCGGTTTTTGATTTCGAGGAACGGTGTTGCCGTGGTTACTAAAAATAGAAATTTCTGTGAAATACTTTTAAAATGCTACTCCTCCTAAAGTTTTGGTCTGATTTCAATATAACTTATCACACAAGTAGACTACACTAAGATACATAATTCTGTATAACGGTTTTTGATTTCGAGGAACGGTGTTGCCGTAGTTACTAAAAATAGAAATTTCTGTGAAATACTTTTAAAATCTACTCCTCCTACAGTTTTGGTCTGATTTCCTTATAACTTGGCACACAAGTAAACTACACCAAGATGCATAATTCTATTTATCGGTATTTTTATTTCGATGAACGGTGTTGCTGTGGTTGCAAAAAATAGAAATTCCCGTGAAAAACATTCAAAATGCTACTCCTCCTATAGTTTTAGTCTGATTTCTATATAACTTGGCACACAAGTAGACTACATTAAGATACATAATTCTATGTATCGGTTTTTGATTTCGATGAACGATGTTGCCATGGTTACTAGAAATAAGAAATTTCTGTGAAATATTTAAATAATGCAATTCCAAATGCAGTTTTAGTCTGATTATAGTACATTTATAATGTGGCATGCAAGTATTGTACACTGAGATACATGATCATTATTCTGTTTACTGCTGTTGCGAAGTTTCAGGTCCCAACTGCCACTTTTCTTTGTTTAAACTACAAACCAGTAGAGCTACAGTCTCGACAGAGAACTTCTGGTTATTGTGTGTACATGTTTAAAGAATATGTCCATCATTTGACACTGAAAGTTCTGAATTCTGGTGATAATGAACTTAAAATAAAACATTTCACTAAAATTAGGGAAACAATTTTAAAAATTCGCTTTACAGTTATATTTATGATATCAATACCTCCATTTGGGTATTTGACATCCACATAATAAGTGGTGCTATAATGAAATCCAAAATAATATCTGGGTGTAATGAGCCACCTTAAGGTACAATTTCTCCTTTTACGATTAAATACAGTGCCTTGCCGAGAGAGGAAAATAATGATTGGACCTAACTGCGGTGACAATATTTTAAGTACATTGTAGGCGAGGATTGCCTAAATGAATGGGAATTGAATGTAAACTGTGCTTAATTTCCCCGAAATTTTCATCTTTTTTCTTTTTCTTTTTTTGAAAAGTTTTAAAGGTCTTTCAATCAATATTTTTTTTACTCAAAAGCTGCCTTTACATATTTATTTTCTTTCAACGGGACACACTGCAAATTAAACGTCAAGATATTTGATTATTTCATTCTGTTCTTTTGGTAATTTTAAAGCATTGCCATATTTGGTTTAATAAATTATACATAAAGCATATTTTATGTGGTTAATGGAATTTTGTAGTCGATATTTGAGAACTAGCTGTATCTCAATATGTAAACGATTAATCCTGTTTCAACTACGCGAAAAGTTTAAATTAAGAACGTAGTGGAAATTCCTTTTCTATATTTATCTTGCGACGTAATACACATCCTCGTTACGTACTGACGGATGTAAACACAAACATTTAATAATTGCTGGCTTGCGTATGACACAGAAATCTATTTCAGGCATTGATACATTCACGTACTTTGCTGAAAGTAAAATTAAACAGTCTATGTTGACATTTACTTCATATAATCATGGGGAATAACGAAGTTATTGGACGGTGTTGTCTCCTTAACTGTGACAGAGAACCAATCCTGGTAACAGACGGGCGTACTGATGTAAGGGCATACTGCGTCGATAAGAATGAACAGAAAGGTAGGCTCGCCAAACTCATATATGTCAACGTTTTAGGTCTTATTCTTGAAATGCTACGTTTAATAAAGGTATATTTAATTTCTTTGGAGAAATGGACAACGTATACAGGGTTTCGCCAACATCCATGTATAGAGCGAAAGCCTGTCCACTTTTCTTTTAAGATAATAATTGTTTCTATACTGTACCATTTTCCTTGAATAAAAAAAATGAATTGAACATTTAATGATGCTTATATTAAGAAATTTTATTTAATAACTTTTTTACCCTACGAGTAGGGTATACT